TGGGGTTGTGTTGTATTTATATGTTCTGACCTGAATAGAGGAAGAAACATCTCTGCAAGAACATGAGCAGCTGAGAGTTTCTAGTAACCCCTGACCAGTGGATTCAGGGCAGCTCCCCACTCAGCACCAAGCCACTACTGAGAGCAGAATATCTGAGGAAAGATGGTAGCAGGGGCCACAGAAAGAATATAGTACTTTCAATTATTATTCTTTCCTGAACACAACGACACACAGCCAACCTTCAATTGGTTCAGGCTACTGAATACAGGAGAAGGAGATAGGAAGAGCAATAATTGGCTGTAGAGCTTTGGCTCTTCTTGGACACGTCCTCTGGAATTGAAAAAAAAGAGGCAGAAGGATGCTTCAGGGCCTCTAGCTTCCTAGGTACTGACTTCTGAAAGAAGAGAGAAGGTTGAGGAGTTACCAGCTTCTCAATTTTCTTAATTCTTGCAGAACCAGGCTTTTCTTGAGACAGAACCTCAAACAGAACCCTCCTTGCATAATGGCCCTTGCAGCCTCCATGGCCCAGCTCCAAGCAGAGGCCTGCTGCCCTACCTGCCTGGATTGTCTGAGAGACCTAGTGACCACTGACTATGGGCCCAACTTATGTTGCTCTTGCATCTACCAGTGCTGTGAAGACCTACAGGACATCTTCCCTGTCCTGTCTGCCTCCACCCCTGCCCTGACAAGAACCTCAAGAGGAACATCCTGTTGTGTCACATGACTAATATTGTTAAGCAGCTTCCCCCCCGCAATGAGAAGCAAGAGGAAAGGGCATGAAGAGGAGCTACTGTGTGAGAAGCACAGTCAGGTTCTGGGCCTATTGTGTGAGATGGAGCCATGGTGTCCCCAGTGCAGGGTCCCCTCCAACCACCAGGATCACCCCTGATGCCCATTGAGCAAGCTGCAGCTAGTCAGCAGGGGAAGCTCAGAAGCTACACTGAGCACCTAAAAAAGCAAGTGTAAGATGCTAAAAGGGTTTAGAAGCTCAAATATCTACATCATGTGAGATGAACAGGAAGGTGGAAGAGCAAAGGGAAGAATTATGCAATCAATATAAACAACTTAAGCATTTACTGAAAGAGCAAAAGATTACTATTTTATTGGATTTACTGATGGAAAAGAAGGATATTGAAGAAAACTAATTGAAAAGGAAACTCAATTACCAGACCATATGTCTACCCTAAATAATCTGCTGAGTGAAATAGAGAAGTGTGTGCAGCCAGACGTGAATTTTCTAACAGGTATTGGAAGTATTCAGAACAGGTATGAAAATCTAAAAACCCCAGTGGTCATTTTATATGAACTAATGGAAGACAGTTTCTGTCTCTCTCCATCATATTTCAGCCTGCAAACAATGATCAGCATATTTCAGTAAGATTTGACACTAGATCCTGAGACTGCCCACCCCAATTTTACTATCTGAGAAGGCAGAAAAAGTGTAAAATGTGAAGATATTCAACCAAACATTCCTTACAATCCCAAGAGGTTAACTTTTTACCCAACTGTCCTGAGTTCTGAAGGGTTTCATATTAGCAGACATTACTGGCAGGTAGAAGTAAGAGGCACAGGTGAATTTTCCTTAGGTGTGCAAAGACTCTTCCCCTAGAAGTGCTGTTACATCACCATCAACAAAGGATGGCTGCTGGAAAATCCAGCATTCATATGAGACAAGGGATACAGTGCAAAGCATACAAATTGGCATTTTTCTGGATTATGAGATGGGAGATTTCATTTTGCAATTAGATAGATAGATCTTATAGTTATACCTTCACTGATACTTTTACAGAAAAACTTTGGCCTTATTTCTTTACTGGACCTCCATCAAACTCTTATAATCTTCAAAATCAGATGAGGGATGGATTCCTTGGTAGCCTGATTTGTATCTTGTGATATTTTCTTTCTGTACTGTGGAATGCCCTTAGGATATTTTATAATTCCTGTTGAAGTCTTCATCTGATTTCAAGAGTTACAGTGTTTTATTTTTCGGCAGAAGAGAATCATTTTTTGTCCTTCTATTTCTATATGTAATAATAATGTAGAATTTATGTTGTTTCACAGAAATGACATGGAAATCAATTAGGAATTGAAATTTGCAATTGTAAAAGGGAAGACCAGAATGAACGTGTGTTACATACCATTCATGTTTTATCAACACCAATAAATGTATTTT